TAAGAAAGTTTACTAAAAGAATATATTTACCTTATTATTAAGCTTTATTAAAAATACCTAAATAAATAATATATTTAGTTAATAAATTATTAATTAACTTTAAGGGAATATCTCTTAAAAACTATATTAATCCTTAATAGGTAATAAGTTATTACTTTTTAAAAATAAACTTTTTATTCTTTAAGAGTATACTTTAAGATAAATAATTTTAAATCTATTTTATAATAATCTATTAGCTAGATACTTTAAAATAAATAAAATAATAAAATTAATTTAAAGAAAATTTAAATAAATTAATATAAATTAAGATATTAAAAATTATATTTAGAGATATACTATTTATTTAGATTTAAAAGTAAAAACCTATTAACTATATAGAGAGTTAATGTCTTTCTCTTAATTAAGCTATCTCTTTAAGGAAGTCTCTATAGACTTTATTATAGGTTTATTATATATATTTAATAAAATAATATAAATTAATATAATATTAATTGTTATAAATAGATATATAAAATATTATATCTATATAATAATAAATATTAATAGAGATCTTTTATTAAGAGATTAAACTTAAATTTAATATACTTAAGGGTATTATCTCTAATAAAGGTTTAATATTTATAAGCTAATTTTAGTTAAAACTTTACTATTATAACTATATAAAGTAAAAATTATTAATAGTATTTTATATTTAAATAGATAAATAAATAGAGGTAGCTAATAAATAATTAGAATAATATTTATAATACTTTTATTATTAAGAAGTAACTTAAAAAAACTTACTTCTATAAGCTTAATATATAGTAAATGATAGTTAAAACTTAATAATTAGAGTTTTATTAGCTAAAGCTCTTATAAACTATTAGCTAGAGGTTTATTTTAATTTTAGAGATAAAATTAATATAAAGGGGGTATAAAATATAACTAAATACTTTAAAAAAAGCTTTATTAAATAAGGAGAAACCTTAAGAAGTATTAATAAAAAGTAATAAAATAATAAGTAAAAAGCTATAATAAGTATTATAATTTTATTATTTTCTTAATTAGATTTTTAATTTTCTTATTAATTTAAAACTTATAATTTAAAGTAATATAGTATAAATTAGCTTTAAAATATATTAATCCTTTTAGAATATTTAACTATATAGAAAAATAAACTTATTATTTAGCTTTACTTTAATAATACTTATAGTTATATAATATTTTTTATATAAGCCTTTTAGAACTATAATATAGTAACTAAAGTAATAAACCCCTATTTATATTAAATCTAAAAAAGAATAAAAATAAATAAAAACTTAACTAAATTATAAACTATTATATAAAGGATAATAAGACTTATTACTTAATTAAATAGTCTAAATAGCCTTTAAAGTATAACTTTTAGATATTAACTAAAAACCTAATTAATACTAAAAAAGCCTTTATAAATTATAATAAATAAAAAGCTAAATAAAAAGTTAAAAAATAAAAAGAATAACAAAAAGAAATATAATTTATTATTAAAAAGCTTTTTATTATATTTTTAAAAACCTTAAGACTATTAATATTTAGTATAGCTAGAGTCTCTTTAAGAAAAAGAGAAATAAAATAAAAAGGAATTAAATTAAAATATAAATAAAAAACTTAAAAACTATTTCTCTCTATTTAAATTAAGTAATTTCTTAATAAAACTAAGGATTATAAATAATAAAAAGGGCCTTTAGCTACTATATTATATTTAAAAACTATATATTTAACTAACTTTAGGTTTAGCTTAGCTAACTTAACTAATTAATAGCTATTTAGTTATATAACTATATATAAGCTCTTTCTATTTTAGCTACTATTTTATTAATTTATACCTTAACTTCCCCTATTATAATAATAATAATAGACTTTTTGATTAAGATATTTCTAATACTTTAGAAGATATCTCTAAAACTTCTATTAGTTACTAACTAATTAACCCTTTTAATTATATAGCTATTAAGCTAATATATTATTATTAAACTTTTTAAAAGACTTTTAGCTTACTTTTAGTACTTAAGACTATTATAGCTCTATTACTTACTATTAGTAACGCTATTAATATATTATAATCTAAATCTATAGGACTTATAGATTCTTAGCTTTAAGCTATTTAGCTAGTTTTAAAAAGCCTATAAAGGGCTTATATATAGTAATAATAATATTTATTATTATATCTACTCTATTTAGATCTTAGTCTTTAATAGTAATCTTATTATTATTACTATAGAGATCTTAAGTATATATAATATAGCTCTTTATAATATAATTAATATTAATAGCTTATTTTAGATATATTAAAGTAAAGTAGATAACTTTAAGCTAATAGGTATAATGTAGCTCCTTAAACTTAAAGCTTTTAATAATATAGATCTTTATATTAATAATTATTTTAATAAGCTAATATTATTATAGCTTATAGTATAAGCTATATTTAAGCTACTTAGGTATATTAAAAGATATAGAAAATATATTAAAGGATTTAAATATAATAATAAAAAAGAAAGATAAAAAATAGATATTAAGCTTAAAATAACTAGCTTTTTATATCTACTTAATAATATAATAGAGATACTCTATTAGCTACCCTTTTAGCTAAAGGACTATAAGGGTATTATAAAGAGGGACTTATAACTAAAAGATTTAATATTATTATAATAGATTTAAGTTATTATTACTACTTATTAATAATAAAGTTTATTACCCCCCTTTTTCCTATAGCTCTTATAAACTTATATATACCTAACTTTAGTTAAGCTAAGCTTATTAGTTAATATTAATTTAACTATTATTTATATCTATTTATTATATTAAGAGATAGTATAGGCTAAAGTATTAGAATTATATTAAAGAACTAAGAAACTTATATTAATAAACTACTATAAAGCTCCCTTAGAGCTAGGTAATACTTTCTACTTATAAATAATAAAAAGTAAATAAAAATATAGCTTAACTTAAAACCTTAATTAAAAGTTAAATTAAATTTATAATAATAAAGTAAGCTATAAAAATAAATTAAAACCTTATGGTTTTATTTTATATTTAAAAATAAAATATAGAATAAGTTAAAAGCTTAGTTATAAGCTCTCTTCTTAATAGAATTTTAAGCTATAAAGCTAATATTAATTATAAAAAGATAAATAGAAATAAAGTTCTAAGCTATTTAATTATATTAATATTAATAAGAAATTATTATTTTATTTTAAAACTTATAATATTATTAAGATTATATTTAAATTAATAATAAGAAAATAATATTTAACTAAAAGTTTAATATTAAGTATTAATAATCTATTTATAATTACTCTTAATTTCTTAATAATAAGTTAATAAACTATTAAAAAAGAGGTTAAATATATCTAAATATATCTAATTAAGAACTTTAGCTCTATTTAGATTTTAATATTAATAATAAATAGCTTTAAAAGCTTTAAAATCCTTTAAAAAACTAATTAAAATCTCTATAAGCTTCTATTAAAAATAACCTTAATTAAAAAGAGTTATATAAATAAAGAGCTTATTAAAAAAAATAAAATTATATTATTAAAATTATTAAATATTAAAATAAAACCTTATATAAAATATTAATAAAGCTAAATTAAAATCTAAAGGAATTAAAAATAAACTTATTATAATATAGGTATTATTATATTTAGTATATTAATTATAATAAAATAAACTAAATATATTATATTAATAAAAAAAATAAAAATAACTTTAAGTTTAATTTTATTTAAGCTAATAAAGTCTCTTAAAAAGTAGATATATAATATAGAGTAAAAATAATATATATAAAGGTAAAATATACTTTATAACTTAAGATCTATATTAAGGATTAAAAAGAAAAAATATCTTAACTCTTTATTATCTTTATTATTATTCTCTCTCTATTTATTATTTTTATTATTACTATTAGAGTAATAAAAAAGAGGAGGAAGAGAAAAAAGAGAAGAGAAAAGAAAAAGAAGATTATTATATTAATTTATTAGTGTTATCTCTAAAACCTAAAAGACTATTATTAGAATTATTACTATTTTATTACTATTTATTAAGGTTTCCTCTTTATTCTATTAAGCTATTATAATTATTATTATAGTTTTTATAATAACTATAAAGATAGCTATAAAAATAACTCTAATTATAGCTTAAAGTATTTATATTTTATTATTTATTCTCTTTATTATTAATATCAAAAAGACTATTATAAATAGCTATTTAATTAATATTAAGAGAAAGCTAATAGCTTTTAAAAAGGATTTATTTATAGTAATAAGCTTTTTAAGCCTTAAGGACTTAAAGATAGAAGTCTTTATTTTTATAAATAATAATAAATTATTTATTATATACCTTTAAACTACTTTAATATTTAAGAGGATAACTAACTTTTAATATTTTAGTTTTTTTAAGGGGATTAAAAAGTAAAAAGATAAAAATAGAGAAAAATTATAATAATATAAAGTTAAGCTAAAAGATTATAATAGCTAAACTAAAAAAGAAAAGATATATAATAAAATTTTTATATAAATAAAAGTATAAATAGAATAAAAGCTAAAGTTATTTAGAATAAATAGCTTAATAGTGGAATAATTATTTTAAGATAATAGATAATATTACTTATATATCTATATATTATCTTAAGGAGTAGAGCTATATTATATTATTTAAACTTATACTACTTATTAAGGATTCTTAACTAAAGAGGTTAAGAATTAGCTTTAAATAATATTAGATTTTTAAAATTAAGTGCTAAGTTATTCCTAGCTATAATATAATAATAATAATACTTAAGACCTTAAAGATAAATTAGTGCTTAGGTCTAAATAAGGTTTATAGCGGTTTCTTAATATAAGACTCTTAAGACTGTAAAATTGTAGAATAGTTATTTTGGCTAAAGCCTTTCTGCGGCTACCTTTCCAGCCTAGGCTATAATACACACATCTTGCGGTCTATGCTACGCAACCTCCGCCCCCGACAGTACGCGACCAAGGAACTCATGAGCTGTTCTTCAAACGATCAGCCTCAAGCTCCCTCTCAGCCTGCTGGTAGTACTTGGCGGTGTCGACGCCGTGCTGGTTGTGGTTGACGAAGTTGAACCAGGGGATGACACCCATGAAAAGAGCCGAGTATCTCGATTGTCGCGCAGCCACACCCTGCATGTGAGGGGTCAATCTGCTCTCTCCGTAGAGGGGCTCACCAGCCTTGACCTTGGAAACCATCTCCCTCATATCCATTTCGACCTCTCTCGCATTCTCGGTGGCGCCGTAAAATCGCACTAATGTCTCGCAGTCAGCTTTCGTCGTCCTAGTCGGGCTTCGGCAGCTGTTGCCGATCAGATCGTGTGAGCCTACAGCTTGAGCGCTGGTAAAAGTAGAAAAATCCACCAGCGAGGCCAATGGCTCCGGCAAGTCGCATGGCCTGGGCCAGACCTCCCTTGCCGACATGGGAAGGGGCGAATTTCTCCAGGACGAGGAGAGCGCCGGGCCCGAAAGCGGCAGCTGCGGCTCCGTAAGCATAGTCGGAGGGCCTGGCGTAGCCGACGACTCTCTTGAAGTGGCTATAGGCGTACGCAATTAGCAATTGAACTCTCCGAGCCTGGCAGCGGTCGAAGATCGGGTTCGGACGTACGGGTCGTTGTCAATGAGCTATGCGAAGAGACATTAGCACAAGCCTGCGTCTCATGCAAGAGACTGCGTAATACGAACCGGGTAGTCACTCCTGACGACCTTCGTCGGAGTGTATGTCTGAGCCTGTGCAGTGGCCATTGTAGCAGACGACAATTCGGGACCCAATTGCGTCAATGATGGCTGGGAGAGCTCTCAGCGTTCAGCGGTCGGATATGGTCGTTGAATTGGATATGGATAGAAGCTGATTGGAACTCGGCCTCGAGTATTTGCCTGAGGCAGAACTATGTGGCCTTCCTGTCCCACGCCTGACTACGTTCTGTGGCTAGGTAAGCTTGGCCCGTTACGTAAGCTCGGCTGTACCTATGTGGATGGTGGAAAGGTGGACCTCCACCCGATCTCCACCTCTGCACAGCACCGTGAGCGCCACAGACGCGTCCTTTAATTGACTACGCGCCCCGCCCGTATGTCGCGTCGAGAGGGTCGTAAACGCTCATCAACACTGATATCTACATACCGAACTGCGCAGCAGTCAAGATGACCTCGAGAACGGTCCCCGAGTACGATGACCTCGACAATTATGCCGCCGACGATTTTGACGACCCTTTCCGTACCCCGCCGCCCGAAGCGCAGGAAACAAAGAACGTTAGCGCAAATAAGAGGAAACAGGGTGAAGCACTAGGTCTTGATGAGGAGGTCGAGGTAGCAAAGCGAGTGCGAGTGCCACGAGTGAAGCTGGATGAAGCAAGGTTGGCACGATGCAATTGATAGACATATATTTGCGTGCTAAAGATGCTTTCAGGTTGCTCTCGGAGAATGGCATTCCCGAGCTTCGGAGACGGGCGGTGAACCTTAACTTCAAGGGAAAGGGGCACGAGGTGAGTCTTTTTACGGTCGAGTACAATTGGGAACTGTGACTAATTTCGGCTTTATCAGTTCTCCGACACAGCTCGGCTACTATCGTTCTACCAACTCTGGCTCGACGACTTGTTCCCAAAAGCGAAGTTCCTCGATGCTCTATCCATGGTGGAAAAGACAGGCCACAAGAAGATTATCGCCCACAAGCGATTGGAATGGATCAACGAGGGCAAGCCGAAGCCATGGGAGGCAGATGATGCTCCGGAGGAGAGTGGTCCGGGTGCAGAGGTTGGCCAGACGGCAGGAGTGAATACGGCAACAGAACCAGTGAGCCCGACGGACGTAGTAGCACCGGCAAAGGAGCAGGGCCCAAAGACGCCAGAGAGAGATGTCCCAGACGAAGATGATATCTACGGAGCAACACCAGTGGCACAGGTTAGAACCCAAGCATCGACCTCGATGCCCGAGGGTTATGGATACGAAGAGGACGAAGAGGACGATTTGGATGCTCTGATGGCCGAAGCAGATGCGGCCGGTCAGGCACAGAGACCGACTCAGCAACAGAGTAGGAAATCGATCGGAACTGACTTCGAAGACGAAGAAGCGGCCTTGGCCGAAATGGACGGCTTGTGGTGAGGAGCACGGCACATGAATAAGTCTTGATAATTTTGCAATGGGTTATTGGAAGGCAAGGCGTCAACGGCAGGTATTGAATGATAAGGTACACGGGAGGCTTCACGAAGGGGCAGGCATGCGGCGGCGGCTGGCGAATACCCATTGGAATCGCGAGGGTGGTGGGCTAATAAATGGAGAGAGATAATAATTCCGCAGAGTAACCTCAGCCTGAATACGTGGTGTGCTGTAATCAACTATCATGTCGACGACCCATGGTTTGGCTAGCCTTATGCCTTGGGGCCACCATTTGAGGATCTTTCAGGGACGTGCTGGAAGGCTCACCACATAGACGAAGCAACCCTACGGATCGTGCGATGTGCATAGCATGGGAAAGATATAGTGGTTTACTGGCAGAAGTCGATCTCGCCGTCAGTGTCCTTTAAAGGCTTCTCTGGCATACGTATGACCACGTACAACAACGGGCACCACCCGTGGCCAAGCCTCCACACGAAAGGACGATTCGAGTCTTCAAATCACCCGTAAATCGTCGTGTTAGCTCAAGTACTGGTGTTGGAAACTCGTTGAGACTACGTCTGTTAAAAATGGGGACTGAGATTAATGAGGCGGGACGGATCGGCCCCATCCGGCGAATGATCACAACACCCGAAGGCACTTAATTAGGTTCAATGAGAGCGAGGTCACAGTGTGTGCAGTAGGTTTCGTCATGGCATCAATGTTCATTGGTCGCAATGCGACTTTCGCTGACAAGATATTGTTACAGACCCCAAGTTATGGCTCTATTTTAATGGGCGCCATCCGTAACGCCATGGATACCGTTTTCCCGCATGCCCAATCAAGCCAATCGGCAACGCTTCCCATATTCGTTCACATCCGCCTCGCCTCGCTTCCTCTTGGAAGCTACTGTCAACACGTAGTTTTTGGATGGTGCCGAGATGCTATTTGCCGGGTTGGGGGTTTCGTTATTTGGAAGTAAACCCCTACGAATCATCTTGCGCTCTTCGACTCTGAGAGCCCATAGTAACGTCAAGAGAACCTCTTTTGACGGTAACGGCGCGCCGTTCAGCCACGTTCGCGGTGCCCGGCCGCTGTCGCGCCCCGCCGGAGATTCAGCCGACGATCCCCCAACCCGGTCATCGCATCCTTCAGACACCAACCGCAATGCCTCCATCGTCGCATCCATAAGCGGACGCGCCAGAGTGGGGCTGCAGGTTAGGATTCTCTGAAGAGACTTGAGTCTCAGAGTAGGTAAGATCGCGGCCGAAGTCCGGGTTCGCTGCGACGGCAGTGCCGTTGACTGCGTTGGCGTCTGAGTTGGCGCCGCCGTTGACCTCATCGTGGAGGAACTCGGTGATGTCGAACGGTTCCTGGAGGAAGTTGGCAGAGTCACCAGCCATATAATCGTGTTCGTAATCGAGGGAGTTGGGGGAAGAGAGAAGCCCGCTTTCAAGGACATAGCGATCTGCGTCAAGGGCCGCCGACAGACTGAAAGAATCACCGATGAGGTGATTGACAGCATCTGAAGCTGCAGAAAGAAGACCAAGGTCGGATGCAGAGGGGTTCGAGAGGCCAGCCATGATTGAGGAAGATCCTCCGACAGATGACACTGCAGGTCGCACAACATCGCTGCAGGACGTTGTGTCAGGTCGGAGGATGAGTTCCCGGTGGTCTCGGCCGTCTTGTTCTCCTCGGCATCCGCCTCGTCAGTCTCGGCGATTGGCGACAGCTCGGGGGAGAGCGACGCCGGGTTGACGGTGGCGTTGTTCTGGGATGAAGTCATCAGGTCATCGACAAGAGACTTGGCGTCGTCCATTGGAGGACGATGACCGTCTTGTGAGCCGAAGAGCTCAGGGGACAGTGTTACGGAATTAGAGCGGAGAGGGTCGAGAGGCGAGGATGATCGGGTCAACATGCCCGAATCGCGACGGAACTTGTTCAGCTCCTCAACCAGGAGCTGATTCGCCTTGGTGACATTGGAAAGAGCTGCCTCGAGCTCCTTATTGCGTCTTTCGAGAGCCTCGACTTCGAGACGCTTACGCTCCCGAGAAGATTGGGCGGCGCGACGATTGCGGAGGACACGCTCCACTCGGCGTTGCTCCTTCTCGTCCTCTGTCTTGGCCCGTTTCCTGTCGATTTGGTTAGAGAGTGTCTCAGGACGCCATGACATGCGAAGTTCAAAAAGCTTACCTCGGAGGAAGGTTGGTCTTGGGTTCCGGGAGAACTTGACCCCATGATTTCCTCTTCTTGGCCGGCTTCTTCTCTGATGATGGAGAGTCGTCGGCCGGGGTGGAGGCAGTGCCATCCTCCTCAGTGAAGGGCGGAGGCGTCAACATGTCTGAGGGGTCGACGGTAGTGCCGTCAGCGACCGCTGGAGTGGCGTCGCCGAAAAGCGAGGGGTATAGTTCGCCGGGTGTCGAGACGAAGGACTCGGCTGGCGAGTCCTCGAACTTGATCATTGGTGATGTCTGGTCCCAAGAGGCCATTGTGACTTGGATGTGTGTGTGTTGTGACTGTCCAGACGGGGCTGCACAGATGGCTCTCTGGATAGACTCAGTAGGAGGACTTTGTCGGAAATGTTGCACGCAGTTGGAACTGCTAAATCCAGGGGTGGGGATGCAGAAAAAAGTAGGGAACTGTGTGATGCAGGTATGGTTTGTGGGTAGGGTGAAAGTGTGGGTTGAAGATAGATGTATGGAGGTGCCGTCCTAGTTCCTCATACAACATATAGCTAAAGGCTGCCTGCTAAGAGGATCGCATGATAGCTGCGATGACGACCCAGTGTGAGTCAGATGGGGTCTGGTGAGTCACCGAGGGCAAAGCACCAGGTCCGAGTGGAAGATGCTTCGATCTGCTCTGGAGAAGAGGACAGAGTGTTCTTTGTGTGGTGATGGCTTTTTGGTGCAGTTGGAGCTGAGGATCACAGCCCAAGTGCGTGGAAGCAGGCGATGTGGCCTCTTTTGTAAGTTGAGGCCACGCTGGCCCTCGTTCAAGGGGGGGCCACAGGAGCCAAGGGACGGGTAAGGTACCTAGGGTGGTCTGCCTCAGGCATTTGGCCCCCAGGCCCCCAAAACCCCAGGCACGCTGTGGTTGGTAACCTGGAAGGTGCCTATTTTACTTACGAATAGCGAGTTGTGGCCGCTGTGGAACAGGGGCGAAGCAAGGGTGCCGCCTAAAATGGAGCCGATCACGCAAGGTCTCAGGAGGAAGGTACAAAAGACATTGCAGGTATACAAACTCAGTACTAGGTAGTGCTGCGAGTTTGAGTGGGAAACTCAGGTATTCCAGAGTTAAACTTTTCTCCAAGTCAGTCAGTGTGAGTGGGCGAAACCCAAAGAGGGAGGTGGGCGCAAGGGGGCACCTTCGGATTGCGGACTGGACTGCGGATTGCGGATTGCGGACGGCGGAGGCTGATTGGTGGATTTGACCAACGACAGCGGCGGAAGGAGCAACTGCGTGCACCGGCCCAGTGGTTTCACTGGCTCGGGAGTCTTCCATCTTCCACGGAGTGTCCACAGAACGAAACTACGGGTACATACCTATCCCTACCTTACCTCACAGCCAGTAGGCACGAATCTCCTACGGATACATTCGACCCTCCAAATTGCTAAGGTGCTGGCCCCGTCGGTCTAAACAGGAAACACGGGAGCCACGGAGCGGAAACACGAGTGGCGCACCGTGCCAGACGGAGGCCGCGCCGCTCCCAGGAACTTCCCCCTTTTCTCTGCTTCCCACCACCTTCCTTACCTAGGTACTCGGTGTCACTGAATCTTTCCCTTGCCTCCCGTCGCTGCCTTCGCCTCCCACTTACGCTGGACTGTATTGATTAATTGCCCATTTCATCCCGTTTCCGACGTCTTTGGATGACGGCCCAGACATGCCTAAAGCGAAATGGCCTTGGGCAGCCCGAGATGCCGTGGGCCAGAACGGGCAATCCAAACCCTTTGCTTTCCGTCGACGAACGGCCGATGCCTCTACGGCAGGTATGGATCGTATCGAGGGAGGAGAGTAGCAAACACCACGGCGACTACGACTTGGGACGACGATGAATCGGGGTATTACTACCTCCAAGTGCCGCGATCAATCACCGCACTCTCGCCTCGCCGCCCAGCATCTTCCAAAGGCATTTCACCGCATTTCAGTTCCCTTGCCTACCGCCCGTCTCGCTTGTGCTGTCTTCAGCAGTGACCCCGCTGCCCTGCTTTGCTGCATTGCATCGCATTGCTGAGCTGGCTGACATGACATGGCTGACGTGACGTGATATGCACCGTCAGCTGAGCTCACCGCAACCCGCCTCAGCAACTGCAACAGATGTATTTTACGAAGCACAGTACCTACCTATCTACACTACCCACCTTCCCATGGCCTTCAAGCGTACGTTCTTGACCACAAGGCAACATATACATACGTGGAGCAGGTTGAAGTAGATCCCCGAGCATCGCCCAACAGCTGGAGACGTCTGGACCCGGTGTAATAGCAGATGAACTGCCAGTGGATGAGCACGTCCTCCCACCGCCGGTTACTAAACTTAGCCACCCGTCTTCCCCGGCACCAGTTGTACGAGTATCCGTACACGGCGGTTTATTGACGAGATCCGCTATCGGTTGTTCCTTCATTACCTGGTAACCTGGAGGGCACCGCAGACATCACTCAGCGCTCACCACATGTCCCGCCATACCGAGTAACCTACCTTAGCAACTCGACGTTGGACCCCCAAGGCTGAAAGGGGCTGAATCTTACTTTACGCCGCCCCTTCACCAAAGGTCTCGGCCATTCGACTTCCACCTAGGTCACACAAAGTCTATTCCGCCTGTTCATCTTGGCGTGCCATCTCAATGTGGTGACAGAGTCTTGGTCACCCGAAACAAATACAAGCCCGGCTTTAACTGCATTTGGCCTGGCAGAGGCGCGTGTTCTCCCTTCAGTCGTTTGAATCGGCATCGAGCTCCAGGTCTCTGTTGTCAAGCCGTGGCACTGTCCATTCTTGCCATACTCGTAGTCCTCTAACCATTCAAACGAGAGATGCAACTGCAACCAGCAAGGGAGCTCCAGAACCATATCGTGTGTCGCGCCATGTCTCTTGTTTGTGGGGGGGCACATGCCCGTACGCTGGCGCAGTCCGCACCAGAGATGCGCCAGCTGCATCATGATCATGGTTCCCTTCACTTGTTGGTGACCTTACCCCAAGGCAAAGAAGCGCAACTAAATGGGTCTTGGTTGCAACCATGGCCCCCGAGGCGATCTAGGGGTTCTCATTGCCGCAGATCTGTTGCACTGGCCAGCAGACGACTCCTGAACCCCGGGCCCGACTCGTGTTCCCGAGCCAGAGAGACGAGAAGGTGTAGACCGTCTTGACACCGGACACTTTTGGCTTGCCACCACATGCTGAATGAGATAAATGGCATACCGCATGTCTCGAGAGACGACGGTGACAACAATCAACCCGGACGATGGAGGCAAACTTTGGAATGAGCCGCGTCAAACAACTTACTCGAAGCCCCTTGCATACCTTTCTGACTCTCGGGGGTCAATCTACATGCTGTTCGCCCAAACATCTTGCGACGACTCTGGGCAAACTTTGATTGCATCCAGTGGTCACTACTGACTATCATCGTCTTGTGTCCCAATCAAACCGGCGCCTCCAGTAGATCCGTCCGTTCCGGCACGACAGCTCGTCTTCACTCACTCAAACACTTGCAATATGTCGTTGACGCGACCTGGCAAGCCGGACCGAATTTGCAGATTGGGTGTATTCTCAACTCTCGTCTTGTAATGTGCAAGGGCACCACAGCGCCTCCTCCAGGCCGGCGTACGTATCCTACGTCGTCGACTTCGACGTTATCAGAGCGCTTCTCGTCGTCGCCCACCCCATACGGCCCAGACAAAATCACGACACGGCAGGTAGTGGTGTCAGGGACTCCCGGCGCAATAACGCACATTGGCTTAGCGGGGAATACGGATACCGCATTTCAGAAAGCATGCAAATACGGGGCAATCAATTACATAAGGTTCCTCACTACGTATCCGTACGTACAGTACAAACTATTCAAATGTGAACGGAGCAACCACCTCTTGCCCCCCCCTTTTTCCTGTTATCAATGGCCTCCACCTCACATCCAGACATCGGCCCATGGTTGGGATTTCATCGGCTTCTTATTTCCTTTTCAGACTCTCTCACTATCTCGGTGATTGCGGAAAGGGAACCGCGACTTGCAATACGCCCGTAGGCGAGGTGGCTCAGGGGCAGAAGAGTCGACTAGCGAGATCTATCCCTTCCTGAACCGCAGCGTTCGGAGACCGGCAGCTCTGTTGTTCGAGAACGATCTGGAAAGATGGGCAGGGAGGGCACCACCTGGTTGATCGTCGACCGGTCCCCAGTTGCCCCTGCTAATCTTGTTTCACCGCACGGGACTCGGACTGTTGAATGTGGGCTTCCCCCGCCAATGGATCCGTCGGGGCAAACGCGTCTTTGAACCACGTTGATTAACGGCACATCCATCGAGACTCCGTACAGACCGCCGTGCGCCGGAAACGGCCGCAGCTCGGAAGTATCGGCTCCCGTAGACTTCAACCCTACAGACGTTGTCGACGATGCCATCGTTGTGATCTATGGCACTCCCCTCGGTTGTATTAAAAGGTAGCTAGCTGCCGTACCTCAGACTCAACCACGCCAGTCAACACCCTATACCTGAGCCAGCCTCCGTGCGATGTACACAGCAGGCAACGTACATGAGAAACTGAGAGCCTTTCCCTTTCCAAGGCAGAGTGCAAGTCGACGAACTGCAGATCCGGGTTGACGGGTCCGGTAGTTGGATGATCAAACCCCATATTCCCCACGAAATCATCTGCACTCGTTTCTCGTTTCTGCGGGCACGCTCCATCGAAGCAGCACATTCTTGCGCGTACAGGCCATCAGTTTACCAATATGCTCTCAGAAGAGAGCCTGTTTGGTAGCGACCAGTCTTGAAATACCAGCCTTGCCAAGGAGAGCACCCCATCCGGCAGAACAATATTCAAAGTCTGCCAATTTACTGTTTACAAGACGGGATCCCAATTGCCGCGAGCGCCCTTCACAATACCATCAATCTCCGCAGTCACCCACCCGCCATAGAAATCGCCGGGCTGGGGCTCAACCAACTCGCCGTCGACATAGCAATCCCACGGTCCCGCGTAGAACGACAAAAAGCCTTTGATTGCTTCGAAACCCGACGTTGGAGACTCATAAGACCAGATACGGTTCGACACTGTCTGCGGTGTCCCTGATGGCGCATTCTCGGGTGCCGCGATCGAGTAGTAGGTCGCAGCGCCCTTCCACTCACAATAAGTGCTTCGACGAGTTGGGGCCAGAGGAACCTTGATCGAAGCTGGCGGCAGATAGTATGCTAATAGACAAGTCAGTACCTCAACCGAACTTTGACACGTCGACAAAGGCGACATCGGATAGACGAACTCGGAGGATGGTGAGTCTCCAACACCCAGTAAGCATCTTTCGTATCCGCGATCACTTGGCCATGCCACTTAACCTGTAGATGCCGCGGTACCTTCTCCAGCAACGGAGGCCGGGGGAATGATTGGACGTTCATCTTTACTCGTGCAGCCATACTGGCAGGCAAGCGTTGTTATCAACTTGATGAAGACAACTGATGTGAAACAACTAGCGACGGGCCTTGGTCACAGGATTTGAATACGAGTTCAGTACTCAATCACATCGCCTTGGGTGAGGCGCGATAGAATCGAAAAGGATGCCATACGCCTGTTGAAAAGCTCTTTGTCTCGACATGAGCATCATAGACTTCGGACCATTGAAGTTCCGATCGTATGCGGGAACACAACATCGGTACCTAGGTAGGCAAGTTGCAATAACATACTAGGTAAGGTACGGTACATAGAATGGAGAGCAACGTGCCTAGGTAACTAGTTACCTACTCACTCCACTGCTCTCTGTCTAGGTACCATAAGTATGGCTGTGCCACTGTGGCTGACAGTAAGGCTCATTTTCAGCGTCCCTCGGGCGGTAGGTCGGGTTGTTTGACTCAGGTCCGTACCTCAGGTTTTGTTGCGTCATACGCTGCGGCTGACAGACGGCCCCACCTGGTGCAAGTGACATGGACCGGAAGCACTCAACGTCCAGGAATCGCCGTTGCCGCCTACATCCGACACCTGACTGGTCACCTGAAGTATCCTGTCCAGACTTGAATCGACAACGCGCGACCGCCCAAATTTATCTTTTAACCTGCTTCCCTATCGCACACGATCCGAGTGAACTCTTTTCAACGACTTGCCTTCATCGACTCCGTCCGACCATTGTTCTTTCGATCGCTGCATCGCCCGACCGACCCCTCACACGCCCCGTCACCAAGTCCCCGAACAGGTGCCCACCATCATGTCCAACCGACAGCTTTCTCGAGATATGCAGGTCGAGTTCCAGGCCAGAGTGCGTCAACCCTGTCCTCGTCGGTGCTGTCGATTAACGGCAGGCCTTCGCGATCACAGCGACTCCAGTCATAATCCCTGCTGACACCCGTACAGTTCCAAGCGAAGCAGGCTCGCAGAGAAGCGCAGAAGGCCGCCAAGCAGGATCCCATCCTGAAGAAACAAATCCAGGACGTAAGTGATCAGTACCCCTGAGGTGCGCGCCAAACCCCAATGACTGCTAACGTCATTGCCTCCGCAGCTGCTCAAAAAGGGAGAAACAGCAAAGGCGTATCAGAAGGCCAAAATGCTCTTGTCCAAGCAGGCCCTGGCACAGCAAATGGACCAGATGGCTGACATGGCTGAGCTCTCCGCCGCACAAATTCAAGCCAACAACTCGATGAACCGCATGACGCACATGATGGGCCAGTCATCCCGTACTATGTCGCTCGCACAAAAGAACATGAACCCTGAAAAGGTACGTCGCCGCGTCGCTGACCATCGGTATTGCTGCGCCCTCGTTAATAATACCTTTCCTGCAGACTTTGGTTACCCTCGAGCAATTCAAGCAACAAAACGAAGAGTATGCCATGTCCAACGGAATCTATCAGGACGCCATCTCGCAGTCGACAAGCGCCCAGGTTTCCGAGGACGCCGTTCACGAACTCTTGGGCAAGCTGGCCGACGACGCAGGCGTACAGCTGAACGCCGAACTCAACAGCGCAACGCCGGCCAAGGAAGAGCTCGTTACCAACGAGCCCACAGCCGAGGAGGAAGATGCTTTGCAGCAGAGGCTGCGTGCTTTGAGAGCATGATTTGAGTGTAATGCGCGTTCCATCAAGCTGCGCCTCTTCGGCAGGCATCACTCGTTTGGGAACTCGGGGTTCATTAGGCGTTTTCTGGAAGTGGGCACATGCGCGAGAGAGACCTCGAAGAAATGGGCTTACGAACACAACTTCACGTATTTGATAACGGGAAATCCGTGGCGTTTCTGGGAGGAAGAGGCATTAATTGCCATGCCTGTTAATCGAGACCCGATATCATTCATCATCTACACCATCTAAAATGATTCTCTAGCCTGGTTTGCCGCCAGATGGCACCCCGAGCCTCGCATCTACATGTACAAACTAGCCACTGCGGTGATGTCACGCTTGATCATCTCTTGAGCTGTCTGCATCTTTTGATACAACTCAGGGTCGCCGATGATACGAGCAGCGTTCTTGACCTCACGACATGTCTCATCCAGCCGTGTGATTGTCCGCACAATTGTGCCCTCCAAGACATCCGTTAAGTCCGTGATGTTCTTGAAGCTCATGCCTCTCGCCCACTCGTAAACTACCTCCATCAGCCCGAATCTAGGCCGAGAGGTGAAATCATTGGAGTCGTCCGCAGCTTGGATGACTTGGTGGAGCGTCTGAACTTCGTTGACCTTCTCGCTGATAGCAATGATGGTATCCTTGCCCCGCTCAAGATTACCCGTCAAATTGGGCTGCGAATCCGTTTTCTCCTGGAACACGAAGGCAGAGAGCAAAGCTGCAATCTCAGCCGGCTCGTAGTCCGCAAGCACGTTGTCTAGGATTAGCTCCGTCAAGACAAGTTCGTCGCCAGAGTGAATCTCGCAGGCAACCTTGCCCTTGAGCTGGATCCTGGCACTCTCGTCGATGAACTGGAGCTGTTTCAATACCTGAATACGTTGTTCGTAATCGGGCAGAAGCTGAAGATTCTGGTCTGACAACGACTGGCGGAGCTGAGAAATGTGCTCCTTAATGAGCCACTGGTCATGACACATGGCGAACTGGTTGTCGTCAGCAAGAGTCACGATTAGTATAGCAATTGCGATAACTTACGTGCTTCAAAAACTGCGGACAGGACAGAGATGGCGAGGAAGATGCTCTGAATTCAGCTTCCTTGCGCTTCTTTATCGTCTCCTGAAACTGAAGGTTCTTGATCTTCGAGAGATCCATCTCGTCCCACAAGTCATCCCATGATCGACAAAGCGAATGAAGCCTATCCTTTGCCTTGAGATAGCTCTCGCCGCTCTGGAAGATCTCTGGAACGATGCCTTTGGTTACGTATCTGGTCAGGCACTCCACATCGCTCAACGGTACGTGAAGCGTCTTGATGCGCATATGCTTTTTCGCCTGCGGCAGCGGCGTGAGATACTTGCGGAACGCCGGGATGAATGGCAGCAAATCCGTTGAGTCTCGTGCCTCTCTCATGAGCCTGATCTCGCATACATGTAGCGTAGGGCTACCTTGAGGGCCCTTGTTGGTTGTACCTTCGGACAGGAGAATGCCTGGCGTGCGAATGCCGTCCTTGTTGTATACGATTAAGCGCGACTGGGTAAACATCTTGCGGCCGATGGGGATGCCGAGGAGGAATTTGTACATTTCCTCGGTCAGCTGCTTGTAGTCCTGCGACGCTTGGTGGCATTCGTCCATCGAGACGTCGCAGATGCTGCAAGAATCTCTCTTGATCTTGGCCAAGTCTGCCTCGGATATTTTGACGGCCTTCTCGTGCTCCGGCAAAAGCTGCTGTGTGGCGTGTTCTGAGAAGCTGCGCTTAATCATCTCTTCAATCTTGAGCGCCTCCACACGGAGCAAGTTGAGTATCATGTTGTAAGTTAGTCGGAACTGGGACCTGAGCTTCGATGGCTCTCCTAGTATCATCTTCTGGAGGTCCGCCACGGGAGGAGCCTCATCTCCGCCCGGGGGCACAATGATCACAGAACCAACGGTATCCAGGCCACGACGTCCTGCGCGACCCGCCATCTGCGTATACTCCCCAGGGAGTAAGTTGCGGAACGAATGGCCGTCATGTTTCCGATAGCCCGAAAACACCACTGTTCTGGTTGGTAGATTGAGACCCATGGCAAAAGTCTCCGTTGCGAAGAGCACCTTGACGAGAGTTTGGGCAAATAGAATCTCGACAATCTCCTTGACAATGGGCAAGAGACCTCCGTGGTGGACCGCGATACCCCGTGATAGGAGCTCCCTCAGTCTGATGATTTGAGGCAGGATTCTGTCCTCGGGCTTCAGTCTGGCGATCGACTTTTCAATCGTCATATGAATGGCACTCTTCTCGGCCGCAGTGCAGAAGTCTTGGTTGCTAAGTGCATCGGCATTTTCCTCGCAACGTTTCTTGGAAAAGACGAAGATGCAGCCGGGAAGCAAGTTAGACTTTTTCAGGAACTGAACGAGATGAACCCATAAGTTTTTGTCCTGGGCAGCCGAAGTGAAGCCACCTTGGCGACCAGTGCGACCCAGGTGGCCCGGATTATGACTGGCACGCGGTGTCCCACCTCGCCCTCTTTGCTGACCACCGCCGCCTCGGGGGCCTCCCCTCTGCCCGCCGCGCTGCGCTCCCCCTCTCTGGCCTCCTCTCTGACCACTGCCGCCGCCGCCGCGCGCCGTGTTGTTGACTTCCGGAGTCTTGGGTTTATCCTTCCCTTGGATGGCCTGGTTGGCTTCCTTCCAGCCCTTCTCAATGAACTTCTTGTCCGAGTCCACGATCTTATGGATATTCTTGCCAGCCCAGAGGTAGTGCTCGAGGGGGATGGGTCGCTTGGGGGTGGAGATGACGTATATATCCTTCTGCTTTGTCCTTCCAACCCAAGAGGCGAATTCGTACGTGTTGGGCACAGTGGCCGACAACAGAATGAGAGTGACATGCTCTGGGAGCATAATAATGACTTCCTCCCAGACGACACCGCGCTCGAAATCGTTGACGTAGTGAACCTCATCAAAGATGACGAACTCGACGTCTCGAATCAGATCCGCTCCTCTGTACAGCATGCTGCGCAGAATCTCCGTAGTCATGATCAGACAGCTTGCCTCCGGGTTGATCTGAACGTCACCAGTCAAAATACCCACTTCGTCAAACGTCTGACGAAAGTCGCGGAACTTTTGGTTGCTCAAGGCCTTGATGGGTGATGTATAGATTGCCTTTGTCATGTGTTTCGAAGCGAGTGCAATGGCATACTCAGCGACGACAGTTTTACCGGCTGAAGTATGCGCTGCGACGAAGACGGAGTCGCCGTTCTCAAGGTGGTAGATAGCCTCCTTCTGGAATGTGTCGAGCTCGAAGGGCCAGTCTCGGGCCATGTCCGGTACTAGTTCTCTGAAGTTGGGGATTTCTCTCTTGATGTCCACCATGTGAGCCCACTCGCGACCAGCCTTCCTGGCACTGGATGCCACGAGGGCGCCATGTGGTTCCAGTGCCGGGAACTCGACAGGCAGAATGGCATCGATGTCCTCCCCGTCCTCTTCGTCGGACTCAGCCTCCTTCTCCCGAGTGACCTGTGACTCGGGCCCAGACTCGTCGGCACCAGGTGCCTGCTCGGGTTCCTGATCCAACTCTTGCTCGACAGCTTTGGCTTCGTCTTCATTGGACTTTTTCTTGTTGACATCAATACCTCTGGTGAGACCAGGCGCAACTTCGAGCAGACCACCTTCGCCGAGCTTGATCACTCTCTCGAGCTTGTGAGAAGGGAAGGCAGCGTCTCCTGTACCAGCACGTTGAACCTGGTCTTCCAGGGCGGCGGTTGCTTCAATGCCTTCCAAACCACCGGGCGCAAACGGGAAAAAACCTGCGGCACCACGGACGAAGTCGGCCCTGCTGGCAGGTTTGCGCAGAAATGAGGTTGAATTCTTGGCCGTGGCGCTGTTGGCAGTGACAGTGACGTTTTTGTAGCCAGTCACTCTGCCTTCCAGTCCATGTCGCTGGAAGCGCGTGACAGTCCTGGTCTGAGGAGCGGCGATCTTGAACAGTTCAGTGTAGTCCACCGGGCAATCCCAGCGCCTGTGGTGGTCAGGTCAGAATTATGACAGCACCAGCACCGCGAGGGGGGAGGCCTCCGGGAAACTTACTGCTGGAGACGGTTTAGCCAGTCGGGCGAAAATTGCATTGACGGCGTGAGGAACTTATTCTCGAGGTGAGACTTGAGTTCCGATGCATCCTGCTTGACTCGTTTACGAGGCCGTTGCTCAAATAGGATGTCGTCGATGTTCAAGTCACCGGGATCGTCGAGAGAGAGGCCCTGAATGGCAGTAGCCAGATCAGAAACCATCTTGGAGGGTGGTTTGGCCTGCACGTTGACGGGGGTTGGTGCGACCTGTATGAGCGCTGATGAAGTGAAGTTGAATAGTGATGCAGTAATTGGTGCTGAGGTAGGGTATGAGGTACCTACTACCTAAGGTACCTATGTAAGGTAGCTGCGGGACCGATGACGGTATGCGGGGCCACCCACTTCAGAGCGTCCACGCTTTTATGAGTCAACGCAGCTAAACGTCTGCCCGGGCAAGTGTAAATGTACGTGATTTATCGTCTCATGATGAGGGCTTGGCGGCACTGGTGCTTGCCTCTTTCGGTCATCGTGAATGAGGTGAGAGTATTGCTCCAAATATCTAGGGAAGAGCAGTAATGGCCAAATATTCAAACGATACCTTAACTCAACGCTTATGAGCTGATATTGAGTATCTGAGTAGGGAATGCCCTGCCCCTACCCGTCAGTAGGCCGGCCACGTCGTAGAAAACCAAGCTCTGGTACGCGGCCTTCATTTATCTTCGTGGTTTCTCTTCCGCTTCTGTATACCTTGCACTTAATTAGCCTCAAGCTAGCTCGATGCTAGCTCGATAAACTTAGACAGCAATTTCTTTGTTGTCAACTCAGTATAAGTTGTCGAAGAAAAGCTACAGCCCCAAGCTGCATGCTCACCCCTTCATAGAGATATTGAAGATCTTCCAGTGTCTTTACCATAGTTACACGAGGCAGGCAGGCAGCCCAGCCACGCCAATTACCTAACACGAAAAGTTTTCGGCGCTCGCAGCATCTTAGGATTTGAGATCTCTCTTTCGGTTGCGCATCACGCAAGTTTCAATCCAATCAAAATGCTAATCGAAATCGTTCACGTCTAGTTGTGCTCTCAGGGTATGAGATGTATATATGACAACTGAGCAACATACAAGTACAAGCTTCCCCCGAGTCTATCAAGCTCAATAGCTCATTGTGAAATGGCTCCCATCTTGGGCATCTTCACATCAAGTACCTAGCATGCCCACATCCACTTCTCTCGTTCGCATTCACGTAAACCCTCACAGCTTCAGCATCTTGGCGACGTAGTCCTCGATGATCTTCTCGGTAGGGAAGCTCATCTCCTCGAGACCCTGGGCGTAGGGGGTAGGGACATCGGCACCCGTGACTCTCTGCGCAGGAGCGTGGAGGTAGTCGAAGGCGTACTCCATGGTCAGGGCCAGGATCTCAGAGCCGACACCGAAGGCAGGGAATCCGGACTCGACAGACAGGAGGCGGTGAGTCTTCTTGACGGACTTGACGATGGACTCGACATCCAGGGGCTTGATGGAGCGCAGGTTGATGACCTCAACGTCAACGCCATAGTTCTTCTTCAGGTTCTCAGCGGCAACCAAGGTCTGGCCGACACAGCGGGACAGGGTGACAATGGTAAGGTCCTTGCCGGACCGCTCGACCTTGGCCTTGCCGAAGGGAATAACAAAGTCGTCCTTCTGGGCGGCCTCGGACATGGGGAAGGTCTGGCCGTACATGAGCTCGTTCTCGAGGACAACGACGGGGTTGGGGTCGCGGATGGCAGCCTTCAGCAGACCCTTGGCATCTTCGGCGCTCCAAGGAGAAACCACCTTGAGGCCGGGGATGGAACCGTACCATGCGGAGTAGTCCTGAGAGTGCTGAGCGGCGACACCAGCAGCGAAACCGTTGGGACCGCGGAAGGTGATGTTGCAGGGCTGGATACCGCCGGACATGTACAGCGTCTTTGCGGCGGAGTTGACGATCTGATCGATGGCTTGCATGGCGAAGTTGAAGGTCATGAACTCGCACTGACAGGGGGAAGACACGAGTTAGAGATAGTTCGGAGCTTTGGAGACGTCGCCCGTCTGCGTTGGAAATGCTCGGCGCAAACCAGTGCCAAGGCCACGACAGCAGAAACAAGCGGCCTCACCAGCGGGCTAGGGATGACTACTTACGACGGGGTTCAGTCCACTCAGAGCAGCGCCGACGGCGAGACCGCAGAAACCGCTCTCGGTAATGGGTGTGTCAATGACACGCTTGTCGCCGAAGCGGTCAAGCAGACCCTTTGTGACCTTGTATGCGCCATTGTACTGGGCAACCTCCTCTCCGAGGACGAAAACCTTCTCGTTGGACTCAAGCTCCTCGGCGAGGGCCTCGTTCAAGGCCTCACGGACAGTGTAGTCCTTGGTGCCCTTGGCATCTGCGTACGTCCTCGTCTGGGCGGCGAATGCCGCGGGTCGGCTGGCGAACTGAGAGACAGGGGAGAACTGGCAGGCGGAAGAGCGGAGGGCAGCAGCTCTGGACGAGGCCGCCAGACGAGCTGCGGGACGGAGGAATCGGGACATGGCGAATTGAGTTTTCGGGGTGGTTTGACTTGGGACGCGAAAGTCGCAACACGAGGGAAACCAGAGATCCCACGGAAGAAAACTATTAAGAGAAGAAAAACAAGAGATGGACGTTTGGCGACCTCGGGTGGGGGGGAGGTTGACGATGGCCAACGACGAAGGTTGAAGTTGAGCGTCGGAGGGAGGAGGGATAAGAAAGGCGACCGGAGGAGCTGTCGAGGGATTTCGCAGCTTTTTTTTTTTTCTTTTACTTAGCTCTATGGGCGTTGAGTCCGTTGAATTGCGGCGAGCTGCCAAACAACAGCGTTGGGGAGGCCCTGGGCGTGGGGCTATTCCAGAATAGGACTAGATGCGTCCCTGCACCTTAGATAATCGACCGCGCACTTTCTGTACCAATCAATCGTGTAGCTAGGGAGCCAATCCCGTCCAGACAGGTCCACAATCCAGGTCCGATTTAATCCCGACAAACTCCATTTGAGCTGCAGTTGCGTCTCAATTGGCGCACGCTACGCACCCGCTGCCACCCGTTTCCATCCGAACTGGATGTGGCCGCGACCAACCGATTCCAAGGTGCACTGACCTGGACATGGCGGGACACTGGCTATATGACCAAGAGGCATTTACCTGTCGGACTTAGTCAGTGCCTTCATCTTGTCGTCGGACATAATTTCGCGTGGCTGCCAGTGGCGGGAAGAACACAACCAAACTACTACTGACCACAGTGTCCCTCACTCTATGGATACGCGTGGTCATCGGGGGGAATAAACGCGCTCCCCTCTTCTGGACCGATGCGATGACTTGAGCCGCCTCATGACATTGAGGGACGACGAGTAACGAGTTCGCGTGTATTTCCGGCGAACGTGTTCAGCAACCACAACGTAAACTGGGATTCTATCGATTGAGGCTTGTCTAATATTTTGAGCAGCGGTTCATATCGTCAGTGGCTTTTCGTGTCCTAATTACAATTATGCTACTGATAGTAATATAAAATGTTCATACAACGAGGAGTAAGGTCATACAAGAGCTCTGTCCTTTCCCGTCTTACCCTTTTTCAACATTACCGGGCGCCAATGTTCTCTAAACCCACAAAGTCTACCCTATCGCAAACGCATAAAGATTCCGGTTCCCGAAGGCTGCCCCATCTAGTTGGCAGGCTTCTTGCCAACCATTAGATACATGGGCGTAAACAGGTGGTCTTTTCCACCAGCAACCAAGCAGTCGCCGGCAAGTGCCAAGCTGTCCGCCGTCTTCATGGTTCCTGCAGGAGCCAGCTTGATAGCCTCGAGGCCACCAATAAGATTATGCATGATAGAACGTCCCCACTTGGTCATGCGCACGATAGTGAAGATGTCGAAGACGGACTGGATGTATCGAACATCTCCAGAAAGGGGCCAGTACCAAGGCATGGGGTCGGGCCTTTCGGCAAGATCCTCGTGGTGAAGCAACTCGAAACCTGCCGCTTTCATAGCAGCTAGGCCCTCCGAGACCTTGCACATGTTGGAGATACCATCACCTTGCTCGATACCCAAACGGATCTCGCGGTGCTCGAGGTTGTCATTGTCGTACTTGTCCGTCATCAACCATTCGTAGACACCGAAAACACCGCCGGGCTTCAGAACGCGGAAAATCTCGCTGTAGATGCCCTCCAGGGTGGGAGCGTGAACAGTGGCCTCAATGGCGTAGACGGCGTCGAAGGAGTTGTCAGGGAAGGACATTTGCTGTGGGCTGGTGTTAGTTGCAAGGCCCAGTCATCTCGAGTACTGCGAAGGAGGCAGGTCAACTAACCATGAAATCTCCCTTGACGAACTTGAGCTGGTTTGAGAGGCCCTCCTTGGCGGCGTAGTGGGTAGCTCGGTCGATTTGGTAATCGTTGTTGTTCAGACCGGTGACGTGGCAGCCGGTAAACTTTGCGATTTCGCGCGCTGGTCCACCGACGCCGCATCCAACGTCGAGAACCTTCATATCCTCCTTGATGCCGATCTGGTGGGCAAGGTAGTGCTCGTGACGAGCAATAGCCTGATAAAAGGGCTCGCCATGGGAGAAACGGCAGAAGTGGAAGGACTGGCCCCAGCCGTACTCGTATAAATCGGTTGCGAGGTTGTAGTAGCTGCGAGACGCCTGGTGTTAGCAATGCATGCTAGCACTGCATTATACGGGAACTTACTGTCTGGTGAGGGTGGCATATTCAGCAGTCCTGGCCTAACGGCAAGTCAGTTCATGTCGAGACCCGACAGTACGATTAGAGGGATGTGCATACAGCGCGCTCCTCGGGAGTCTCATCCTTAGCGGCCTTGTTGTCCCAGTGCTTGAAGTACTCGTCGACAGCAGCTTGCTTGGCCTCACGGCCCTTGCTGAACATGGCAGCGAGACCACCGGTGGCCTTTGCACTATTACCGTGCAGGGCCTTGTTGAATTGGGCATCACGAGCGTGATCCTCGCGCTCGAGGTTGTTGGTCGTTGAGGAAACCATTGTGGACGTTGAGGGTTGGCGCGCAGGGTGAAGGGGCAGTCCGGGGTAAGGAAGGTCGAGTTGAGGACAGGAGCAAAGAAGAAGATGAGAAGTAGAGGAGCAAGCAGGACGGAAGACAGATGCTTCGCGTAGAAGTATGAGCGTGGGCGGGGGTTGAGTGTGTGTGTGTGTGTTTTTTTTTTTAATTATCAACAGGAAAAAGGAGAGGCTAGGCCAGCAAAGCACGGGAGATTGTCTATCTCAGTCTGGCCATCCAATAGATGTAAATCTCACCTCGGCGCCCACCAGCACTGTGACCGCTTCCATACCTACCTTAGGTAAGGTCCGCGACCTCGACGAGGCAGGTACCTCTACCCGCCTTTGAAAAGATCCACAGCTGCCACCAGTGAACACCGTGAAGCAAGCTGGAGCATCAAGCAGAAATGCTTTCCTGTCGGGTGCAAGGGCCCTCAATTTGACAGAACCTAGCAACAAACCGTGAGCACTCGATAAGGCATAGTCTCGCCAAGTCTTGGGGCAATTGGCCAATCACAGATGGGATTTCGCATAGCGCATTGCTTTCTTCAGCAGGCGGTGAACAGACGGTGTGACGGGAAGCGTATGCGTGCCGGCTAACAGCAGGGGCCCGGGCTGGCCAGCCCAATCCGAATACGAATTCGAAACATGGACACAACCGACGGCGGCAGCGTGATACCGGAGCACATTTTTTGCTGTCAGTGTTTGCGCCTCTACCGCAGTAGGAGAGGTAGAGTATTTTGGTGTCAGTTGTGAGTTGTCTTATGCGCGCGTACGCGAACTGCTAGGTCCAACGTGCAAATCACTTGTCTCTATCGTACCGGTCGCATTTGAAAAAAAAAAAAAAAAGGATTATCCTCATTAAGGTACCCAGGTTGAGGTGCGTCCTGCTGATGATAGGTAGGTAGGTCATCTCAGGACCTGTGACGCCCCATCACGTGCTTATGATTACCTAATAGCCCGGCTCGGAACCCGGGGAACCTCCCGTCCCGTCCATTCCAGGCTGAGTGGAGGTGGATGGACCGGACGGGCACCCAGCCTCTGGCGCCACTCGTTCAGCCTCATCTCAATCCCGTCCCCAACCTACACCCATGCAACTAAGAAATCTCACGACACCTTTCACTGGACGCGATTCAAGGCCAGAAATCGGTACATCTTGAACCTCTCGCACACATATACACACCATAGTTGGCGCGACGATCGCGATACCGAGGCGCCATGCCACCACAAATCAAGCAAGACCTGAATCGCTCAGGCTGGGAGTCGACAGATTTTCCCTCCGTTTGCGAAAACTGCCTGCCCGAGAACCCCTACGTCAAGATGCTCAAGGAAGACTATGGAGCCGAGTGCAAACTGGTAGGTGACGCGTCTCTAACTTGCGCTTGGATTTCATGCTAATATTGTCCGGTTCTAGTGCACGAGGCCTTTTACCGTCTTTAGCTGGAGCGCCGATCGAGCTCACGGTCGAAAGAAGCGAACGAATATTTGCCTTACATGTGCTCGCCTGAAGAATTGCTGTCAGGCGTGCATGCTAGATTTATCTTTCGGTCTACCCATCGTCGTTCGTGACGCCGCCTTGAAGATGGTGGCTCCAGGGCCGTCCTCCGACATTAACCGCGAATATTTTGCGCAAAACAACGAGCGAGCCATCGAGGAGGGCCGCGCTGGGGTCGAGGAATACGAAAAGACCGACGACAAGGCCAGAGAGCTTCTAAGGAGACTAGCAGCCAGCAAGCCATACTTCCGAAAGGGTCGGCCAGTCGAGGGTCTCGACGATGCGTCTCAGCCGGCATCCGCGTCAAGCCCAGGCGGGCTGGGAGGTAACCCCGCCGTGGGCGCTGGGGTTGGAGGACCTGGACCTATTCGAACAAGAGATTCGAGAGCCGCTGCGGCGGTTGGCGCCCGCCCTGGCAGAGTGAAACAAGCGTTCCCCAGCGCTGCACAGCTTCCCCCAGGGCCGCAAGACTACATGCCTCCCGCCGACACGAACATCATGTCCCTCTTTGTGACGGGCGTCGAAGATGATCTTCCTGAGCACAAAATTCGCGACTTTTTCAAGGTCCACGGCAAGATCAAGAGCTTGGTCTGCTCCCATATGTCGCATTGCGCCTTCGTCAACTACGAGACCAGAGAAGCTGCAGAGAAGGCCGCAGCGGCGTGTCAGGGTCGGGCCATCATCGCAGGCTGCCCCTTGCGCGTTCGCTGGGGTATGCCCAAGGCCCTTGGTACGATGGATAAAGAGCAACGTTCCCAGATGCTCATTGATGCTCGGCGCGGACAAGCTGCTCGTTCGGCGGACGGAAAGGCCGGACGGAAACAAGTCGCTGGTCCTGGGGTTGGAGACGCTGCGAAACCAGCAGCACCCACTGTGGTCGCACCACCTCCGGGTGCAGGGGATGGGCCGCAGTATGCCAGTCTTCAGGGTGATTAGGCCATGAGCAACGAGAAGACTGATTGTCATTTACGGAGTTGAGGAGTCTGAGCCGCATGGCATGGTCGGTGACTGGGATTCGGGATCGGTTCAAGGCCCCATACCGATAATTAGGGTATCATTGTCTGTTACACAATCTTACAAGCACCTTTTCCATGCTGTTCCTCTCATTTTGTCGCTCGTTTCTCAACTACAGCCGCAGCCACCCATGGTTGCTTTGCCGCTGCCAGCTGTCTTGACAGAATCGTTATCTCCCCGTTCGATGTCTTCGTGAATGCGCAACTCTGCAAGGCAAACGTCAGTATAGTGTGCAGCAATGCTTCGGCCGCTGAAAAGCCCAAAAACGTACTGTAAACGCGAGATTTGTCTTGCTTTCCTTGGACGACGTTCTCTCGGAGGATCTTCGCGATGTCTTCGGCTTTCTGGATGGCCGGTGCCACGGAAGGATCTGTCGGCGCGAGAGCGGCTTGTTCACGAAACCCTTGTCGAATTTGCTGATGGGCAGCTGTGAGAGTCCGATCGTCACCTGCGATAGCTTATTGTCAGTGTACGTCTCGTTGGATTCGATGGGGTCATCCCGCACCTTTAAAGGCGATTCTCGCAGCGCGCCAAAGGTTTCGATACGCGGCGACGGACATGTTGGGGACGAAACCTGCAGCGGTGGGAAGATTTAAGGGCTGTGACAGTCGATTTCGAAGCTGACGGGAAGTCAAATGCTACCAATATCGCCAGTTAAGGCGCAAGAATCCGCGGTGCAGCGCTATGGTATGGCTCAAGGAAAAAGTTCCCTGGCACACTGCGCTAGAACCACCCCCGCCTGCCCCTCCGCCCACCCTTCACTTCTCCAAAAAAAATTCTGCCCCACGCTCCTCATTTTTTCCCCTACCTGGCGACGACGTACAAGTGCCGGTCCTCTGTCTTTCAACACACGATACGGTTCAGCAACTCGGAAAACAATATCTTCTCGAAATGGCTTCCGCAACGGTGGTCCCCCATGCGCTGCCGGCCCTGTCCGACGGCTGGTCTGCTGAGAAGGACTTCAAGGCCGTTGGCCAAGTCTCCGCCGCAACTCAGCGCAGCCTCGAGCCTGTTGGCCCTCACTTCCTTGCCCACGCTCGCCGTGCCCGCCACAAGCGTACCTTCTCCGAGGATGACCGTATCCAGGCTCAAGAAGCCGCCAAGAAGGTTGAGAACGACGATGACAGCGACATCAGCGAGCCTGAGGACCCCATGATGCTGCAGCGCGATGCCAAGGACTGGAAGGTGAGTGATCTATGGGCTTTCAACAATTACCAAAGCAGAAAGGACTAACATGCCATGTTATCATAGAGCCAAGACCACTACCAGGTTCTCGGCATCACCAAGTACCGCTGGAAGGCTACCGAGGACCAAATCAAGCGCGCCCACCGCAAGAAGGTCCTTAAGCACCACCCCGACAAGAAGGCCGCCGCCGGTATTGTCGACGACGACAACTTCTTCAAGTGCATTCAGAAGGCCACTGAGGTTCTTTTGGACCCCGTCAAGCGCCGCCAGTACGACTCAGTCGACGAGAAGGCCGAAGTTGATCCCCCTACCAAGAAGCAGCTCGCCAAGGGTAACTTCTACAAGCTCTGGGGCAACGTCTTCAAGGCCGAGGCTCGTTTCTCCAAGACCCAGCCCGTCCCTACTTTTGGTGACGACAAGTCTACTAAGGAGGATGTTGAAGACTTTTACAACTTCTGGTACAACTTTGACAGCTGGAGGACATTCGAGTATCTTGACGAGGATGTTCCCGACGACAATGAGAACCGTGACCAGAAGCGTCACATGGAGCGCAAGAACGCCAACGCACGCAAGAAGAAGAAGGCCGAGGACAACGCCCGTCTCCGCAAGCTGCTCGACGACTGCTCTGCCAGCGACGAGCGTATCAAACGCTTCAGACAGGAGGCCAACGCTGCCAAGAACAAGAAGAAGTTCGAGAAGGAAGCTGCCGAGAAGAAAGCTGCCGAGGATGCGCGATTGAAGAAGGAGGCCGAGGAGAAGGCTGCCAAGGAGGCCGAAGAAAAAGCCAAGGCGGATCGCGACGCTTCCAAGAAGTCCAAGGAGGCGGCCAAGAATGCCGTCAAGAAGAACAAGCGAGTTCTCAAGGGTTCTGTCAAGGACGCAAACTACTTTGTGTCTGGCGACGCTTCTGCGGCGACGATCGACAGCGTCCTTGGTGACGTCGAACTTGTGCAGGGCAAGATTGACGCCGACGAGATTGCCGCTCTAGCCGGCAAGCTCAACGGTCTCAAGGTTGCTGACGAGATTAAGTCTGTCTGGAGCGATGAGGTCAAGAGACTGGTTGGCACCGGCAAGCTTAAAGAAGGAGATGCCAAGACTTTGATTTAGGAGGCGGTTCTGCCCAGAATACAACGGAGATGGAGGAAGGGAATTTGACGGGGGATGACCAAGGTTTTACCTTACAACGGGGAATTAAAGGCGTAAGAGACATTCAGAGGCATTAGAATAGATGAATGATGGACTGCTTCAACAAGCAATGATATATATATATATATATATATATACTCGACCAGAGCATAAAACCCTCACGTAGACTGTCGGATATGCGATGCACTGATTGGCAGATGGAAATCGGCTCAACGAAAGCTGTTCCAAGGTAGCACAAAGGCGACAGGGAGCTCATGACAAAGAAAGCGTCAGCAGATGGAGTCGTCTTTTGACGTCCAGGCGATTTGCAGAGTTCATGAGTCTTAAGCAAGGTACGAGGTTTTTATTAGTTCTGAAGTTTTTGTTTGTACGCGCAACAGCTGATTGTGTCTAGTACATGGGCAGGTAACTGAGCATGCAGGTAACAAAGTGATGCCTCTTAGGTGACATAGCTATCTTGACGACCCGCGTGGTACATCCGAAGCTGCGGGAGGAAGCGACGCGACCTTCAAAGAATACAGTCCTAAATCTTCAGGTCGACGCACTCGCGATGCAGCGTAGTCTCTTTCCACCTGAAGCTTGAGGCAGGAGTCACTGGACTGGCATACACGCAAACAAGACCTCCTTCCTCCTTCCTCTCCCCAGCTTAGGTTCGTCTCAAGGCAGGACGACAAGGTAGCCGTCCATCAACATTTTACCTTCAATTCTACTCCATCTCGAAATCATACAGTCTACTTGATTTTGACGGTTACGCATTGCTACTCTCCATTTCTACCACGAAAAAACAGTCCCTATCTGGCCTACATTCGCCTTACGTCTCCCTCTGTTTTCATCATCAACAGAGACAGCTACCGACAGCCGCAAAACTTCCATGATGTCTGACTTCCGGTCCGGTCCCGGCTGGGCAGAATACGACCCGACTTCGGCGCCCCAGGTTGTCATCCCCAATGCCCCCGAAGTCGTCAATCAGGATGTTCACATACCCATGAATAACCTCACCGCCAACGACCGCGTTTTGAAGAGCAACGACGGCGCCAATGATGGCAACGGAGCTTCTCCCCTTACCCTGTTACAGCGCCTCCGTCCTCACAGGTGGATCATCACCATCGTCGCTGTCTTACTCCTCGTGGGGATCGTCGCCGGCGTCACAGTCCCAATGGTGCAGAAGAGCAATGCCTATTCGCGTGGCAGCTATTCGAGCATGCCTTCGACCTCTTCTTCCGCCTTGATCACTACCACGGCGCCTTCCTCCGCCACCTCCACCGCCACCGCCACCCCGTCAGCTTCACAGGTAGGTGAATTCTTCTCTAGGGACTTATGTCTCATCTGTTAACCATCGTTAGGGCCCTGGATGCGACTCATCCAAGTTCATCAGCGACGTCAGCTGGATAGGAATCGACAAAGGTCGCGATTGGAAGTACCGTCTCAAGCCGGCTAAGAGCCCCGAAGACTGCTGCACGATCTGCCACCAGTCCATTCCAGAGGGCTGCAACGGCTGGTTGTTCGTCAAGACAAATACCAACACCCCAAACTGCAACTTGATCTATGGTTATTCTGGCCCAAACAAGACAAACGCCTGTCCGGCAGGCAAGCCAGACCTGGTCTACAACGACGGCGACGGTCAAGGAGGCGGCGGCCCTTGCGCAGAAAAGATTCGGGTATAACATAGGGTTAGGAAAGGGAAGTACCTCTATGTACGTAAGGTAGAAGCAATTGGTACGGTACGTTCTGGTATTCGATGCCTGCTGCTTCCTGCTGTTGTCAGTGCTCGTGAGAGTGTCCTCGACTTCAGCGACTCCAGGTCCCTGACTTGTTCGGGCTGTTGAGTGGAGGCGCGGTATTGGATGGGGGGTCGAGTCTCTGACTGCGAAGTGGCTTCCAGGTAATGGGTTCTCAGGCGATGTGGTAGCAGAGCCCACACTTTTTTTTTTTTTTCACGAAGTCAGACCGAGAGCCACTCTGTTAGGGCATGGGCAAAAATGCCATTGTATGTTTTAATTGAGGAAGCTCAAGTATACACTAAGTCAATCGAACTAATGTACGGAGTCCAGTTTCACGCGTGGACCAGACGACGAGTGTCCCAAGTCACCGGAGTCTCGGTATAGATGTGAAGCAATGTCTTGGGTCCTGCGCTAACGATGATAGCAACATCGCCAATCGCTGACGGAGGGGAGCATGAGGATTCTTCTGCTCAGACCAAATATCCAAGCGCCTACTGGAAACCAGACCATAAAGCACCACCCGGAGGATCGTAGGATGTTCTTCCTCCTTGGTATATGTCAACCTAGATTTTGATGCCGGAGTTAGATTTTTGGTTCAGACCTGTACTTCAGTTGGATATTGGTCATTACTTACGGTGATGCCAGGATCATTCTGCGAAGCGTAACCCGGAATGCTCCTCAGGAATGACACCGGCGGCTGAGCTGTGCCGGATCCCTCCACAATGAGCTGGGCGCATTCGGCGTAAAATTGAGGGGTGTTGGCCTGGTGAAGGGCGAGTAGTTCATGACGAATAAGATAATTGCCGGCCTTGAGGTTCGTCGGAATCTTGCTGGACCATTTGAGCTGCTTCAGAACGATGGCAGTGCCCCAATTCTCGCTGTTGAGATTGTTACCCCAGAGGCCCATCTGGTCAATCTTGAACCATCCCTGTTTGTCTCCGGTACAGGTTTTGAAGCTACTGCCGCAGTCGTAGAGCCAGACCATGACCGGGCCTTGGGCATGAGTCCACTGCTTCCAGTTGGCCGTGATATTGGTGCCGGCCTTGATGTTAGCCGTGAGATCCGCTGACTTGCCACCATTGCATCGCATCTTGATGTCATTGACAGTCATCGTTGGGTTGTAGTCTGGCTGAGATCACAGAACAATAAGCTTCTCACGCCACAGTTTGGTCTCTCATCATATATGAACCAGACTCAACTCACCCATTGCCACTGAATGGTCGGCGGCGAGGTCGCAGGTGAGAAGCCCTCGTAGCCTGGATAGTTCTTTCCGTCAATGGTGTAACTGGTCACAGCTCCATGGCCCAGGACGATGGAGGCCAGGCTTAGGACCTGGTAGATGCTTTTGAAGAGCATCTCGGCAACGGATGGGATTGGTATCAATTACGAGCAGAGGTTAGGGACAATACTGACAGCGAAATCTAGAGCAACTCACCGCCTACTTATATTTCACGGTGTAGTCGGGCCAGGGGGACAGGAGCATTTGATCTTGTCACTTGGCAAAAGAAGACCCTCAACCGGTTGACTAGGCCTACTCTGCTGGGTAACGTAGTAATACTAAATACTGAATAAATTAGGCCGATATAACCTGACGAGTCAACGGAGGTAACGTGTCGGGAAAATCCATCGCGAGTGCTTCTAATGCGCGATACACCCACCCGTGACCAAGGACTACATTATTTTCGGCGAATCCGAGCCTCAGGGTTATTAGATTTCCCAGGAATTGGTTGATATGGCCCTCGGATGACGCTTTGAAGGGCAGAGTGCAGCAATCTGGCACAGCACCTGCGTGCAACAATCTCATACAGGCTAACAGCAGCCGGCGCAGGAGGTTCCGGATCATACTCTACAAAGCTTCGACTTCGACTTAAACAATTGATCACCAACACTGCCGATGGTAATCAGACCGTGGGACGGAAGTTGTTGTTAGTAAAATAGGCTGACCCGGGTAAACAAGATATACCCGTGGCCCATAGCGATACGCATCTTCTCGGGTTTGGATTCATGGTAGTCCACATAAGGGTGAATTGACGGCGAATTTTCTCTCGAGGGGTTCATTCGCCGGCAGCAAATACCCTAACCGGATGGCCAGGTATGTCGGACATCGGTCCATTCTTCATGTTTCTTTTTGCTTCGATTTGGCTTTGACAAAAGGGTTCCAGTCACGACAACATACTTCGATCAAGGGACCAATATTAGAGAGGCCGCATGACAGAGGCTTCGAAATCCCGATTTTGCCCGTGGCCTCACAGGGACGGCGACGAGACAGCCACACAGCCAGCGGCTTCTCCATAATTACTCGCAGAATATTTGCAGAATTGGGCGTAAAAACGCACGATATTGAATCGCACCTTTTGGCGTCCCCCCGCAAAAGATCGCCATGTTCCGGGTATCAGGGTATGCTCAAGGAGCAGGTATTGCTGACATTTGGCATCTCCCAAGACGCCACGCGCGATTAATCACCTGAGAAAATTTGAATATTGGTCATTTTCTGCGAAGGTAATGCCTCATTATGGACCTTGATGCTTGCTTGCACCGTGAAATGGCCAAGTCTGGTCACATCTGGTTCGCTACATTTGCGTAAGTCTTATTTCCATCGGCCGAAGAATCAAGGAATTGAACATCGGATCACTACGCCAGCCTAAGCCCATCATGCAATAAGCAAAGTAACGCACTGTACGACTAGATCATCGACTCGCATACGGTCCGATCGACACCGATTGCACCTTGATAAGCCAGCCTCGTGAGACCACGAGAGTTGTCAGTAAGCGACCTTGAAGAGTCTCATGGGCTGGGCACGAAATATCTATGTAAATAGGTACGCCAGAATCAGTATGCTCTCATTTTTTTGTTCGTATTTCTCTGACACAACCAAACAGAACATTTACTTTAATCAACCCGCATTCTTACTTTCCCTCCTCTCGTTCCAAGTCAAACAACAACAAAATGAAGTTCAACATCCTTGCCCTCCTCACCCTTGCGGTCGGTCTGGTCTCTGCCCAGTCCTTTAATGACGTTCTTCCCTGCGCCAAGCCCTGCGTTCTGGAAGAGTCCCGGCGAACCAGCTGCCCTCTCACCAACCCCAAGGACTGTCTCTGCAAGAAGGCCGATAAGTTTAGAATTCTGGGCTGCCTCAACAAAAACTGCAGCAAGGAGGACAAGAAGAAGTCCATTCAACAGGCCATCGAAGCCTGCAAGTGATCACGCAGGCAATCCGGAGGCGGTTTTGGAACAGACAGCTACTTTTCATCCGAAACAAAATCCTCCGAACAAGCCATCGATCCTGTCGCCGATTTCCCTCCCCCTACCTACAACCACGGAAGAACCTCGACAAACTGGACCACCGAGGCAACGGCGAAGGGCTGGACTGCGTGAACAGGCCGACCCAATATGAATGCGAAGAAACGGAAGTGGACGGAGTTGGAAGGCCCCTGGGAGATTCGACAGCAGCTATCCTGAAGGACATCAACAGCGTGATCTTGTGGCAGAAATGGGATAGATATAGATGGGGGACATAACATATCTTGTCATACCCCTCCGACCTCAATTACCTACAACTTTTGTTCCATCAGTTTCGTTGATGCCTGCATGCTGTCGTGACCTGGTCCGAACCAGGAGGCCAACTGAAGTTCCTGCTGGCGTGTAATGCAGTACACGGTACCGCTATGGCTTCCCGAGACTTAATCATGGCCCTGACTGACGAGTCACGGCTGCTGCTTTGGTTCAATTGCTGGTGCAAGACTAGTCTTGCAGGTTATAGCAGCAATGAGCGGCTTGTATTTGAACAGTGGCGGGGTATCATTTGACTGACGCTTTCTGCATACTGCCCTCATGGAAGAGGAATCCTGCCAAACAAGTCATCGTAAAGTCTCCCAACCCAACCGTCTGTAAAGCCTCCCCTTGCAACGACTCCTAAGCCGCCAGCAGCCCATATGCCGAAAGCAGCAGCCGAAAGGCCATGCAGCGCCCACCACACCCTCCTCTTCTGTTTCCTCGTCTTCTTGTCGATGACTCTGGCGCCACTGCCGCTCCATCCCATTGCCGTCGGCGCGAGCCCAAACCATTTCGCGGCTCCCCAGACCATGTGTCCGCACCCAACAGCCAGTAAACCTGTGTAAGCCAACCACGACACCACGGGGTGCCGGGCAAAGCCGTGGGCTACAAAAGCCAAGCCGATATTGGAGCTGTCGCCCTCGACCTGTAAAGGAAGCACACGGTTGATGCCGGCATGGGCAGCGAGGAGTACCGCGAAGGCATAGCCTGATATTGAGATGTAGCTTACGGGCGGCCATATGCGGGCGGCCGAGCTAGAGCTGCTGGAAGTCATGGTTCGGGAAGTTTTGCCAGTCTGGGCGCGATATAGAGCGTACATGCCGGGGGTATTCCCTCCATAGCGCCGGAGGTTCTGCGAACGACGCACAAGACGAAGGGCAATACCGGACGCAATATGGGCAATGACGGGTAATCCCACAAGCAGGGGCTCCGTCAACGACGTCTGATAGATTTCTCGTGACTGCAGGAGGTATGTTTCGGAAGCAGCAACGGAGCGCGCGATCAAAGGTATTATCGATGTGTTGGCAAGGTGTATTGAGGTGAAGATGGGTATCAGGTACGAGGAGAACCTTTGTATGCGTGTTACTGGGAAGAAGACGCATTAGTAGCTATCGCCAACTCCGTTACTGGGGGGTCCAGGAAATAAAAAAACACACGATAGAAGATAGCGCCATGACCGCTGCCACTCAGGCCTGGGGCGGACGAGGTAGATCTGAGCGACGCAGTGTTGTTTTCAAGAGCATCTTCGGGCAAAGGAGGAAGATCCTTTTCGGTGTCGGCTGGCGGGGTCTCTATGGGTGACGGGTCCAGTTGAAGGAGTGATATGAGAGTCTCTTCGGACGCCATGTATCGAAGCGATCTGGAATCCATGGCGAGTGAGACGGAACTGACAGCTACGCTGCCCAGTTTCTTGTGGTTCCGTAGTTCGAGTAGAGAAAACGAAGGAGTTGGTGTGCTCGGTATCGTCGAAAAGACCAACAACTCGATTTGCGCCGGTCATAGGAGTTTTGGCAGTGCGATTATAATATGCAGCGACTATCAGTAAGGTGAGGTAATCGTATCCTTCAAACAAGAATGCTTCGAATTACCGTCACCGTCACCGTCACCGTACAATTCAGCGTTGATGGGCCTAGCTGACTATTCCTCGCGTCGTTATACGTTGCAGGGGCTGGCTGGGTGGATCCGGTGCAGTCCGGGGGAGCCGCACTAAGCCATGTTGAGTAAAGTGCCCAAAAGGTGCCGTGTCAGTGCACCTAAAGTAAGGTAGGTAGGTACCTCAGGTACCTTGGGTATCCTAACCAACAACCGAACCCCTCGCCGCGTCTCACGCTCCCCTCGCATTCATATCCCGCCCGCCGACGAACCCCAAAGACCACTGCCATCATGCCTCCGGTAAGTCAGCAGGCGCTCCGCCATGGTCAAATTCAAACTGATGAGATGGATGCCCGCAGCGACACCAGACGCTGCCCCCGGCGCAGACGTCCTCTGCTCGCGAAGCCCTCCAGTCTTTCTACTGCAGCCTCTGCTCAAAGGGCTACTCTCGAATGAACGATTACGAAGCACACCTCAGTAGCTACGACCATAGTCATAAGCAACGTCTCAAGGACATGAAGGCCATGGTGCGCGATCCCAATGCTGGCGCGAGAGCCCGAAAAGCCGAGGCCAAGGCCGACGGTCTTGTCAGCATCAAGCTCGCCTCGAACGATCAGCCGGCACAAGCAGCCACCACCGGAGGCTTCAAGAAGGGAGGTTTTAAAAAGTCGGGATTCAAGTCGGCTTTCACTCCCGTCGACACACCTGCTGCTGCCGCACAAGAAATCCCAAAGTCGAGAGTGGGACAAGTCCTCGAAGCCGAGAGGCTGGCAGCTGCCAGAGATCGAGACGGGGACACTGAGAGCGATACGGAGGACGAAGGTTACGAAGTCTACGATCCAGAACGGCCCACGAATTAAGTCCTGGAGAGGTTTACAAAGCACGTGGCTCGGTAGCGGTTGAGATTGACACTGGTTGGGATTGACGAGCAATATCTGAAAGGCGTCATCTTGGGCTGCGTATGTCGGCCAACGAACTTTTGAATCTTGCGTACGTACACGTAGCAGAAGTATGATGGTCTTGGAATCACCGCTGAGACGCGCTGAAGACTGACAACCCACAGCGAGCAGTGTTCTTCTGCATCTGCAGGACTCTTTCGAAACTACCTGGTATCATGCCTTCTATATCTTCATTTTTACCACAGACCTACACCGAAACACGTCCGGTCCTCTGGTTTCCTTACCGGAAGACCGAGTTGGCCCACCCAAATACCAATTCTCCGGTTCGCAGCTACGCTCAACTGAACTGAGACAAGTCCTCTTCAAGCAACCCCATCATATACTGGCTTCCAGAGAACCAGTTTCCTAGCTGGGCAGTCTGCATAGTAGGCTGGGACATGCTGTCGGCCTCAATACCCGGAATGGGATATTCGGTTGGCGGGAAGCCCAGGGCACTTAGATACACGTCGAACTCGTCATTGAGGGGGCCGCGTTCCTCCGATTGCTGCGACTTTGTTTCCACGTACAAGAGCGCCACATTGTATAACATATTGCATAGCTGGTGCAATTTCTCGACTGGCTCTGAGAGCGCACAGGCGGGTCGAAGGGAGGCAACAAAGTCGTTAAGTCGCTTGAGATCCTCAGAGCTCGAAGTGTCGATTACATGACAGAAAAGGACGAAAAAGGGTGTAAATGGCGTCAGCAAAATGGCCCTAGAGCGTCAGATGGTCAGAGAATCGGTATCATCGAGGCTCTTTCGTAGCTGCGATGTCTCATACCAGTGGATGTAGACGGCCTTGAGGTGTCGCCCCTCTTCAGCAATTCTTTGCATGCACTCGAGGTGCAGTTGCATCGCAAAACGAGCTGTCTCGATACATTCTTGCGAGAAACGAGTCGGAGATCCTTCAGGGGCTGGCAGTGCTCGGTATATCAAAGTCAAGGTGGACTGAAATGTTAGCTCGTCACCGCGGAGGTGAATATCCAGAAGCGAAGAAGCGTTGAGCGCTTTCAGGCCGAACAGCGCCTGCTCCCTAACATGTGAGGCGGCCGCCATGATGGCCTTTTGCTCGCCTTCAAGACGCCGTACTGTTTCGAGGCGCTCCTCTTGGGATTGGCCTAAAGCCAAGGGGCTGTATCTGGCGTCCTTGTCAGCTCAGGCATGGTTCGAAGGATGGAGGGGTGGACACACAGTTGCTCGTAAACACGATGCTGAATTTCGGCTTGTTTGATCCATGTCGTGATGATCAGCCCCCATGGGTCGGCAACCATTGTGTTATCAACTCTCCTGGACAAGGTGATATCCCAGTCTTGAATAACGGAAGCTCTGCCAGTCCTCAGTGACAAAGTCTTGTCTAGCATGTACACGTGCCAAAACAACAGAGTCTTGATATCCCTGGGCCCGGCGCTCTCGCTTCTATTTTGCGAGGCGCGATGATAGCCCAGTGTTTGGCACAGGCTTGCCGCAGTGGACGTGAAGAGCCATGCGAGAGAGGCCTTCGACACGTCGACCGCATACACGGCCTAGTATATCTGTCAGCATCACGGCGAAAACGGAGGCGAATGTTGTCACTCACCGCGACGAGCAGTGCTTCGATGCTCTCAACCTTGGCGGGCAACATGAGAGGCAGACATGCCAATGCTATCTCCAGATTATTCTGGCACATATGTTGGTAGCGTTCAAATTCTTCCCTTGCGGTGGCATCTGAAGCTAGATAAGCCTGCTCCATGAAGAGGTAGAAAAGGGCACCATTGACGATGATGAAAGTGGTGTCGGCGAAGGTGTCCGTACAGAAGTAAACTCTCCGGCACAGTTCGGCCAAATCATCCACATCCAAGAAGGAACATGCGAGCGAGAAGATGCCAGGCGGAGACACTATATTGAATGTCAAAGGCAGTTCCACTATATGAGATAAAAGGGCAACGACTAACTTTTCATGTGTTTAAGCAGTGCGACAACGGCGTTCATTGGTGGCATAGGCAGATCCGGCAGGCCTCCAGGTGGGAGGGGTTGCTGCGTACGGAAACGAAACTCCCGACTTGAAGAGACCTTGTTCTGCATGGAGACTATCTGGCGAAGGGAAGAAAGTGCGGCGTGCATATTGGGTGGTACGTCTTGCAGCGAGGTTCTCTGAACGGCATTTTCGATGAACTCGCTGGCGAACATGGTATGGGCGGTCAGTGACAGGTCGCCCTCAAAGGCAGAATCCGAACCTGCGCCGTCTTGTGTAAGGGCATCTCCAATGGTCGAAGCTGATGGGGTGATGTGCCTGGCCGTGGGCGCATCCCACGAGGAGCCGCTCCCAGGATTGTTGGTTAGACTCCGCAACAATTCTTCAATATTTGAGAGCCTCTCTTCAATCAAGTCGATCTTCTTCTCACTGGAAGGTTTGAGTTAGCTTCTGGCCTTGTCATTTGGCCTAAGTGACTGACGCGCTGGCTCGACGTTCCGGGAAGACAGCAAGACTTGGGTCTATGTAGCCAAGCGTAAAGCAGGGAGGATTGAGGAGATTGGGAAGAGGGGAGAGGGGGGTGGCAATCTACTATTGAAGAGAGATGAGGACGCGATGTCTCTGTTCCTTCGGCTTCTGGCCAACGCCGTTCGAGCTACATGGTCGTTGCGTGATGCGACAATTGGAACATGGCGAGCTTTTATCGCAACGGATCTGCGGTCAAAGGCCACGCGCGGGCCAACCGTTAGCCAATCCATCATATCATTGACTCACATGAAGCATCTCGAAGAACCAAAAAAGAAAAAGAAAAAGGAAGGTGGGATGCCGGGATGGGAGACAGCCGCCGCCGACGGCTTGAGATGGATCTCTTCGATGTTTGAGGTCGGCACAGAACAGACGGGATGGGATTACCAACTTTACGCGTACGGCACTGATCACACTAGATGATGAATGAGAGAGTCAGTTATGTCTCCAACGGACGATGCTTTGTGGCAACCGAAGGTATAAGGCAGAGGGGAGGGCTCGGGGGGGCCGTGATGCAAAGTGGTCTCGTTGTGGACATACAGCTCGGCGAAGGCCCTGGTCGTCGGGGCCCGCGGAACGGGAGTCTGACTCCATGTTGGAATTCAGCGACGAATAGAGCCGCGTCGTGCTGTAATGAGCTGTGCTCCCGTTAGTTCGGCTTCTGTGATGCTTTCCAGTGCTTTCCTGCGGTCTGCTGCACCTTTCCGCCGTTGTTTGCAGGTACTAAGCCGTGACAGGGCCAGATTGATAGGACAGGACAATGGGTCAGAATGATCGGCCGGCCAGCCGGGAGGTCGAGCGGGCGATATCGAACAGTTATCATGCGTCGAAGATGTAGCTAGACCAAACGGAACGAGCAATACAGCCGTGGTCAATGGTTCAGTGTTTGTCTGTCTTGGGTGGCTCAGTTATAGAAGGGTGGAACGTTATCAAGGGTAGGTATTGTGAACATGGACCACCAGGGATGGGCCCGCCAGCCGGGAAAGGATGTGCAATGTAGGATGATGACCAAGTGCCAGGTAAAACTATGAGTTGTAGTGACTCCGGCAGCGACAGCGGTGAGGCGGTCGAGTCCTAGGTTAGGGTAAGATTTGTGCATTTGTGAGACGGGAGTCCTTGACGCGAGTTGGCTTTCGATGGAATCAGGCGGCCAGGTCGGGAAAAACGTGGTCTGAACGAGACTCGCGATATGACGTTGAAGGCCTTGCGACTGGGCGGGACGATGGAACCAGGCAGCGAGCTCTGGTGTCGTGGTGTCTTTCGGTTCAAGCCGAGTTGAAAAGTAAGATGAGACGTTAGAGGAATTGGGTTTTCCCCAAGCTCTCTCTCCTCCTCTTTCTGCCGGGCTAGGTATGAATTAGGTAAGGCGACCTGCAAAGCCACCAACGCGTATAATGTTGTGGAATAATAGGATGTAAGAAGTTTCGGTGTATTCCAGCTCCGGCTTGTGCTCCCCAGACCCGGGGTGCCTACGTTGAAGCAGACGAACGGGCCTCTCAGAAACGTCAGGTATCGAGTTGCGTTGCGTGGAGGACTAATTCGGAACAAATTGTCTTGCGGAATTACGCGTACGCTTCTTCGACTGGGGGTAAAGTACGGATAGTAACTTACACAGCCCTACGCTGCAAGCCAAGAACTTTAGGAGCTACACCCCTCTTTCGCACAACAAAACCATCCAATCTCCTGTTCACCTACGTCAAGATGCCACATGCTCACACCACCCACCATACCTATTGAGCCCGGCTGCTGGATCGAGCGACTGGCGTTGAATTCCATGCCACGCCTGGGCTTCGTCTGTTTTACCTATCTACCTGAATTTAGGTGTGTTGATCCACCATTTCTCAACTGCTAAATAGAGGAGAACCAGTCTTGTGTGATCAAGTAATGCTGTCGTGAGTATCAAGCCGTCAATGGTGTAACGACCTTGGAGAACCGCAGGATCGCCCGTCCGCAAGTAACAAACCCCCAAAGGGTGTCTTACGCGCTTATCTCATCCAATGTATCTGTACTATTAAGTAATACGTCTTCCGGTGCAGCAGTTTGGTAAAGTCCCTCTGCCGCCACAATCCCTTGCTCGGGCGTCCGCGGAAGCCGTTCGACTCACACTTGTCACGCAACCCAAATGGATGGTCTACAGCAACTTCTCACCACTAAAAACATGCAGCTGCCAATCTGACCTACCTAACTACCTAGGTAGAAATTGCTTTGAATCGTCCGCCATTTCTTCCTTCTCATTTAACTTTCGCAATGCTTCAAGCATCGTCGCACCACGCATCCTGCATACACCAGCATCGGCTCGTTTCCTGGCTCCAGCTCTCAATTACCGCCGCCGCTGGGGGCAACACATTCCCTGATCCCGTCAATAACCATGCAAAACTGTTCAACCCCTTCCCCTGTCTCTCCACTTACAGCCGAACGGCCCCCACCCTGTACGAGTGGTTCGCATTCTTCACAAACACGGCCGATCCAGATTAGCAGTAGATTGAGTCAGCGGCCAGGGCAGGGGATTGGTTCGCCGTTGACTAGTCGTGCCTAAGCCTTCGTTGTTTGATAGGAACTCATCATCCTCCATAGTAGGTTATGTGTTTCGTCATCAACCCTTGTAGACGTGATAATGCGTGTTGGGGCTCCGCAAACCTTCTCTAGCCGGTCATATCTGATACACTTTGCGCCGGCTTCGCCAGACCGAGGGGAAATATTGATTCCCGTCGTGCCTAGGTACCAATTTACTGGCCCACGAGCTTCGCTAACATGGTCCGTTCATATGGCTTTTATCACGTTGGAAACTGGTGCCATGAGTGGCGCGAGTTTTGGCTTCAGTCGGCCGGGACAGCGGACCCAATGACCGGGATCGGGACCGGGACCGGGCCCGATTAGGTGCCGGCCCCATTTGATAACAAGCAGTCTGAAAAAGAGACCAACAGCTGGTTAGTTGATTCACTACTTGATGCGTAAGAATCGGGAGCAACTATGCGTTGTATTAGAGGATGTTCAGGCTGGTTCCTGGACATATGTGGCCGTTATAGTGGGTTCCGGTTTTGGTTTGCCTCTATTGATGGAGTTTCCTGGACAGATTCTACGCAAGGACACAGCTTTCCCCCGATTTGCCTGCCTCGAAACCAGTACCATGCGAAGCCACAGCCAATGCAATACACCAAGAAATCCCGGAAAAGTTGAGTATCATCAAATGGGCAGCAGGCGTGCTCCAAATCAAGTAATAAACCACATGTTAATTCACGGCGTTTGTAAAACAATTGACCTTATGCTAATCAATAATGATTTCAGTCAAACAGATCATCACTGCCGTGTGTTGTCTACAATAACACCTGCGAATTCCACAACTTCAAAAGACATACCTTATTTAGTAGAGTTTTGCCGCTGTGTATAACGTCTATAGGTCCTAGGCGTTTCTAAAGTTATTAATATAGTTTAAGCAATTCTAGATAAGTTATATTAGATACTAATAGAGTCTAGTAAAACTTTAAGTAAAGCACTAGCTAACTTATACTTTATATAAGTATAATAATAAATATTATAACGTTTATAAGAAGAGGTAAGATATATAAGGAGCTAAAAGTTTAAGTAATATATTAAAAGTAGTAGAAGCTATTAGTTTATTAATTTATAATAAGAGAGGTATTTAGTAACTCTTTAATAAATAAGATATTAATATTACTATTACTATTAGCTAACTTATTATTTAAAGTTACTAAAAGGTTAAGAGACCCTCTTCTCTTATTAAATTTAGGTTAATACTATAGTTACTCTTTTAATATTAAGCTTAGCTTTAACTCTAGCTAATTAGGCTTTTATTATAATAATATATTTATTAATTAGCTCCTTAATATTTAAGCTAATAGATATAAAGAGCTTTAAGTAGTTAGAACTCTTTAGTATAGGTATAAATATAAATATAAGTATAGAAATAAGTATTAATAATAGAGTAGGTAATTTAAACTTAATAATAGCTTAATACTCTATAATAGTATTAATAGATATAATAATATAATAATATAGTAATATAATACTTATTTAGGTAAAAAGAGTATTTAGCTCTTTATAAGTTAAAGTAATAGTTACTATAAATACTAGAGGTAACCTTAATAAAGCTAATAAGAGGAATAATATAGCTAGACTAAAGACTAAAGTATAAAGAGTACTATATATATATAGGCATTATAATATTACTATATATTTATATTATTACTATTAGGATATTTTAAGGCTTTTATTATTATATTATAGCTAGAAATAACTTAATACTTAATTTTAAAAATCTAATATTATTTAAAGCTAATTTTTAACCTCTTTAGTTAAGAATCCTTAGTAAGTAGTATAGATTTATATAGTATAATATAGCTTTACTCTCTAAGATAATATATAGATATATAAGTAATATTATTTATTATCTTAAAATAACTATTCCCCTATTAAGCTATTTATCTTAAATAACTTTAGCTTTTACTCTATTTATACTCTTATTTATATAAAAATTTTATTATATACCTTTTCTTTTTTAGCTTAACTATTATAATTTTTTAGTTTAGTTTTATATTATTATAACTTTTTTTTATTTTTATTTTTTTATTTTTTAATCTCCTTAAAAATATTAAAATATTAAAAGTTAGTTACTCTCCTAAATATTAAAAGTTAGTTACTCTCCTAAATATTAAAATAGTTTAGAGGTATATAATAAATAATTTATTATTATTTATAAGAGTAAGAACTTTTATCTTTAAGTCTTTAAGGCTTAAAAAGCTTATTATTATAAATAAGTTCTTCTTAAAGGCTATTAGCTTTCTCTTAATATTAATTAAGTAGCTATTTATAATAGTCTTTTTAATATTAATAATAAAAGAAATAAATAATAAGATATAAAACTTTAAGCTATAATTAGAGTTATTTTTATAGCTATTCTTATAGTTACTATAGAAACTATAGTAATAATTATAATAGCTTAATAGAATAAAGAGGAAACCCTAATAAATAGTAATAAAATAGTAATAGTTTTAATAATAATCTCTTAAGTTTTAGAGATAACTCTAATAATAATAATAATAATTCTTTTTTTTTCTCTCCCTCTTCTTCCTTCTTTTTCTCCTCTTTTTTATTATTTTAATAATAATAATAAAAATAATAAATAAGGAGAGGATAATAATAAAGATAATAAGGAGTTAGGATATCTTCCCCCTTTAATCCTTAATATAAATCTTAAGTTATAAAGTATATTTTACTTTTATATATATTACTTTTACTCTATACTATATATCTATCTTTTAGGAGACTTTATTAGTCTAAATAAGATTAAACTTAAAGTTATTCTTATCTTTTTCTATTAATATAATATATTTAGTTCCTCTTATTATAATTAATATATTAAGTATAATAATATATATATTATAATAGGTTTATTTCTAATTCCTTTAGATTTTAGTTTAGTTTTATTAATATTTTATATAGGTTTTTATATTAATACTTAATAATTTTAATAATATAATTACCTTTTTTATTATTTTCAATAAGCTTCTTATTTATATAACTTTTTTTAATTAAAGTTACTTTTAATAGAAGCTTATAGAGATTTTAGTTAGTCT